CATTTGGAATTTGTGATTCGATTTTGGATTCCTAGGTTGTGAAGGAAGGGCTGATATGTGATTTATATTCGGATTCGGAATTTACAAACTCACATCAACTCAACTCTCTCTGTGTATAATATACTCGGTATCCCAACTCCAAAACCTCGCTAACCTATTTCTATTATATATTGGTTACATTATTTTATATTTACTCATGTTTCTTTAAAAATATATAATTATGATTTCTTACATGCTGAAAACTTTGTTTTTTTAATCTATATAAACTTTGTTCATGTGAAATTTATAATTCTTGATTCTACCTCATTGTTAAATACATTTTATATTAACATCATTTTAACTCAACAATACATTTAGTGGGGTCTTTTTTTTTCCTTATGGAAATTCATATATTATTAAGTGGACCATATTGATGTAGCAAGATTATGATGGTCGCAAGGACCAACAATCTCTCAACTCGACGAAATGCTTGGCTAAACAACGAATAAGGATGACTGTATAAGGGCGGACCTCCAGAAGAGGAAGATTGAGTAGACTGCGTGCTAACACCCGACGGTCGACGATCTATACATGACCGGGCCGCCTCCCTAGATCGGCACGACTTCGAGGACATGTTAGGTCGGCGATACGTGTTAACTTAACCATGGTGGCTATGCAGCTCGGAGCACGACAACTGGCCTAAGGACCTTGGGGATTGGCGGTGGCCTCCAAATACTGAGAGAGCCAAAGAGGCCTGGCTAGGGGTAAACTGAATTCCTCAAATATAGGACATATTCATCATCCAACAAACTAAAGATACAGGGAGATATAATTAACTAAGAAGAATGATGCGAAAAGAAGTCTAATTTACAAAGGGTCATTAGGGATAGTATGCAACTGTGACTATAAAAGGGGGACACAAATTATTATTTTTACACAACACATATGCACGCACAAAAATATTACTATTTCCTTAATACTGTGGGATGTGAATTGACTTGAGCGTCAGAGTGTTTACTGTCGGGGCTCCTCCTGGCACTTTGCAGGTCATCAAAGGCATCAAGACAATTCATGTCGGCAAGTTATTGTTCAACTAGACCGGGGGAGGAATTGCACAACAAATTTGCACCCATCGTGGACAACCAGCCTTTTACCGTCGATAAGAGGCTAAAACTTTTCCCACAGAAACATATATATACCTACATTATGCGGAAGACAAATCTAAGAAGAACTTGACAAAAAGATGAACGAAGCATGGACAAAAAGGGTGTTCGAATCAGGACCACCACCAGGATGGTCTTAGTCGATTGCCCCCACCCAAAAGAAAACACTACCAACACCTGACACGACATTGACGCCGCTGACGAGAAACCGCGGAGGGTCGCCAGGGACAAGTAGAAGCGAACCATGGGGGATCGAGTGGCCAAAAGGACAATGGACATGAGCTCGACACTCAAGCCAACGAGGGGACCGACAAGCAGGTCAACACATGATATGACAGACCTTAGAGGCAGGTGGATGACTAGGGAGAGAGGCATATTTTCATCGCCAAGGGAAATATACGCCGAGGGGTGATCAGTCTCCTCTGGCGTCCAGAGGGGACCAAGTCCTTCATTTGACCAGAGGAGAGTTAGAAAAGATTATCGTAGAAGCAATAGGTCGGGTACATGAGGTGGACATGAGGGCTCCTCTTGAATAAAAAAGGCAGCAGCCACTCCAACAACAATCCATGCTCTGTTAGTAAAAGATAGAGAACATGGGAGATGCCTTTTCTCATATGCCCACATGTGTCAGATGCTTTTCCCCATCATGCCCATATGATCACTGAATAAAGAAAATAATAATAAAAAAAATTATTTGTAAAAGATAAAGAACATGGGAGATGCCTTTTCTTATATGTCCACATGTGTTAGATGCTTTTTCCCCATAATGAGAAAATGTGTTTTTTTAATCAATTTGTTGGCCAAATTGGCCATTTGATTCCTTTCATTTGCCTATAAAAATGCATACTCGGCAGAGAAGAAAGACAAACCAAGAATAGGAAAAGAGAGGAAAGAAAGAGAAAGATAAAGGAAATAAAAGATATATTTATGTCCAAATATAAGATATAAAAATATCAAAAGAGAGAAACAAGTGATATTTTTATTTGTCTTAAGATATTCCTTTTATTTTTGAGTGTTCAATTCTCGACCCCGTTCCCGTTTGCCGGAACTCGTAAATAAGGTGTGCTACAGATTTAGAAACGTTAGTCATTGTATCTTTGGGGAAGTTACGCCTAAACCGTTAGCAACACACGGGTCGTATTCTTCTTGCAGAAATAGTTTTACTCGCCTCGGCTAAAATATTTCATTTTTCAGTTGTAATTTATTTTTCAGTTCAATTGTAATTTTCTATTTTTAGATTACTTGTAAGAACTGAAAAATACATATCAGTTCGTAGGGTTCTCGTGTAATTTCACACCAAGTATCCAACAATCGCAAGAAGAATATTTCAACCTACTGAACTGATGGCTTCCACCGGAGCAGGTTCCAGCTCTCAGCAGCCAATCAACAACTCTGTTCAGCATTATCATCATGTACCTGTTGTTCAGGTCCTGAATGCTGAAAAAACCCAAAAAATTCAACGGGCTTGACTTCAAGAGGTGGCAACAGAAGATGCACTTCTATGAAACCACCTTAGTTTTGGCAAAATATCTGAAGGACGATCCCCCTCTTGTTTCTGAAAATGAAACCAACGCTGAACTACGCGCTGCGTACTAAGCTTGAGGGCAAGGTGATTACCTTTGTCGGAACTATGTCCTGAATGGACTTAGTAACGAGTTGTACAATGTGTACAACTCTGTTGGTTCTGCCAAGGAGCTTTGGGCTGTGTAACACCCCGCTGTGTCCTAAATATCAGAGTTAATTTTTTTCGCAAAAGTTTAATAGAAAAATACTTATTAGATTGTGAAATCGTGATTCGGAGTGCTACTAAAATCCCTTACTTTTCTTTGAAATCCGTTATCTTTATTTTAGCTTTGAAGAAAAACGGATCATCATAATACTTGCAATACTATAAACAATCCATTCGGAGTGCTACTAAAATCCCTTACTTTGCTTTGAAATCCGTTATCTTTATTTTAGCTTTGAAGAAAAACGGATCATCATAATACTTGCAATACTATAAACAATCCGACTTGTAACTCGGATCAAAATAGATAATTTTAAAAGACGGTAGCGTCAGCGGAAATCATAGCGTGGCAAAACATATATACAAAAACTGTATAAACATGATCCTGAACCGCTCGTCAGGTCACACCTCCGGTCCGACTCTGTAACCTGAAAAACATAGATAAACATGGGGTGTGAGCACTAAAATTCACTGTGCTCCATAGGAACTCATACTAAAGTAAACAGTGAAAATAATTGCAATATCATGATCAATAGCATGTAGAAACGTGGTACCGGTACAATATAAAAATAATGGCATGGCATGACAGAGCATAGCTGTAGCATAGCCACAATATCTGCCAACACAAACGTGCTGGACACCATGTGCACACTCTAGTTGGCAGATAAGGCCACTAGAACCTAGAATGGGTTTACGCACCTGGACACGGCTACCATTCTAAGCGGATACATAGCATGATAAATAACTCAAACATGGTAGTGTATTTATTATCAATGTAATACCATTCTGAGTCCCCACCTGAACCGTCGATATGAAAATGGTAGTGTTGATGACTATAGACTGACCAAACTGTAACATGATATAAACAAATACTAAGTACTATGCTCAGACTGATTAAAATAATTGGTTAATATGTTAAGAGGCTCGACTTGAACTTGACATGACACTTGGACTTAATCAGTATAGCTGAAACAGGTTTAAGATGGAACTGGACTGATATGACTAAACTAAACCAGACTGGACCTGGAATTTAAATGAAATTCTGACATAAACATAGACCGGATGAGTAAATATTAAAATATGAGCTAAACCGGTCTGAACCGACCGGTTCACTGACTGGCCAGGCCGCTGGCCTGCTGTGGCCGGGCGGTCGGCCGCTAGCTTGGCCAACCGGCTCGGTCCCGCGCTGGGCCTGCTGGTGCCCGGACGCGGTCGCTGGCATGGACTTGGCTCGACTTAGGCACAACCGGGCCTTACTGGTTGTGACTGGCATGGGCATGGGCATAGGCGTCCGCGCACGTTGGCTTGCCACTGGACACAGTCGGTGTGGACTGAGCCTTGTTGGGCACAACAGGCGTTAGCCTGGGCCGACTGGACATAACCTTGAGCGCTAGCGTGCGACTGGCGCAACTGGCGCTCATGGAACGGCCATCAAATGCAATTGGGCACGATCGACGGTCTACTAGACTTGTGGCGTGGCGATTGGCGCTGCCGGACACTGTGGGTGCCGGCACTTGCGCGACTGAGCACTGTCGGGCGCTATCGAGCGCCACAACGGGCAATTGGGCACATGGACATTAGGACTGGTACTGACTGGCACCTCTCGGGCGCTGTTGGCGACCCTGATGAAACACGGCGCTCGGGCGTGCTGTTGGGCACTGGCCGAGGTTGATTGACATGCGGTTGGACGCACTAGTGTGTGCTGGGACGTGCCAGCATGCGTTGGCACTAACCGACTGTCGACTGTTGCGGGCAGAGGCTGTACGCGACGCCCGATCAGGTATATACGCACATCACCCGCTCGATTGCCTGAATGCCGACGCTCTGTGACCGCTGTGCGCAGCAGAGCGGCTACGACCGGCCCTTGCCGGTCGTCCGGCGACTTCATCTGACAACTTTAACTTAAATTAACATAAAATAACATGACATGAACAAATCTACTTAAATCGCTCGAACGATTATGAACTCAACCTAAAATAACCCGATGAGGCTTGAACGGGCCGTGGCGTGCGCTACGTGCGCAGCTCAAAACTTGTAACCAATCCTAAGACCAATCGACAACCTTTCCCGACAATTGATTCAAAGACTGGTCCTAATATATCCAATAATGACTAATGAAACATGAATTTCACGAGAGTTTACGAATAAAATAGATATGGCTCGAGACGACTTAAAATGACCTAAACCGAGCATAACTTAGCTTCTACATGGATCAAATGACATGGCTTGAACTTAATAAGCCTAGCATGATCATATAATCATAGTAAGAGAGTTAATATGTACCCTCTCAATTGCTCGGTTGATAGCGCGTGACCTCTTGGAACCTTGCTTGCGAACGTGCGTGCATGCGAAGAAAATATCTTAGTCTCTCTTAACTCTTGCTTAGTATATAGCTTAAGTGTTAAGCTATATTTTCACCCAACACTCTAATTTATAGAAAGATGAAAGACGGTAAATTGGGATGAAAATATAAAGTCAAGGGCGTGGCCAATCGGCGCACGCCACTTGTCGTGTGCTTAGGGCCTTAGGTGGCCTCTTAAGCTTAGTCATTGCTAGGTGGCACATGGAGACATGGCTTAGTCATCACCTCTTGCTTACTTGAATGCCACACAAGTTAATTAGTAATGATGAAGTTCACGTGAAGTTTGCCCCCAACAACTCTCGGCAATTAGGACAAAACATGGCTTAGACATTGATTAAAGACGATTGGTGCTAACTAAGCACAATTGCTTAGCGTGCTAAGGA